AAAAAAAAAAAAAAAAAAACAACAACAAAAAAAACCAAACAACAACAATGAAAAACAAACAAAACTCTAAGATAAACAATCCGTAAAAAATTAACAAATAGTTTAAACAGACACTTTACCAAAGAAGATAGACAAGTTGAAAAGAAGCACATAAAAGTGATAAAAAATTGAACACCACTAATCATTAGGAATATGCAAATTTAATTCATAAAGAGATACCACTACAAGTCCTGGAATGGCTAACATAACAAGACTGAAAATACCAAGTACTGGAGAGGATTTGGAGGAAGTGGAATTCTTACACACTGCTGGAGGTAATGTAAAAAAGTTACAGTCATTTTGGGAAGTTGTTTGGCCATTTCTCATAATTTTAAGTGCACACTTAACACATGACCCAGTAACACTCCCCTTAGATATTGACTCAACCACCGCATTCCTAAAGAAATGAAAACTAGGGCTGGGATTCGGTGGGGCAAGACTTGCATGCCCCTGAGAGTGAGTGCCTCCTTAAATGTTGTACCCTAGGTTGCCTACCTTGCCTCACCATAGTCTAAGCCTGGAGAACGCGTGTCTACACAAAGCCATGCCTGCTCACAGTGGCATTCTTAGCAACAGCCAAAAACTAGAAACAAACCAAATGTCTGTCAACTGCTAAGTGGATAATCACATTTGGTACATCCATACAATGGAATAGTACTCAGCAATAAAAAGGGGTGGACTACCAACACACACCATAACACGGAGGACTCTCAAGGGTATCACATGAAAATGAAACAAGTGAGACTCAAGTGAGTACATGCTATATGATCCCATTTACAGAAATTTCTAGAAAATGCAAAACTCTAGTGTCAGAAAGCGGGTCAGTATTGCCTGGATCCAGGGGAATCCAAAGAGAAGGAGACTGATGGGAAATGGGCACAAGGAAACTTTTTTGAAGTGATGGAAATATTCCATATCTTGATCGTTGTGGTTGTTTTAATGAATTATATGAATGAGTGCATCTTTCAAAGCCAAATAGAGCTTATCGGATCTCTAAGAGGCCTGGGGGCCTTGGAGGCTCAAGGACAATATAGACCCTGGTGGGGACTGACCACAGGTGCCAAAAAAGGATTTGCTCAGAATCTTCTTAGAGAGATCTTCTGTTTTTCAGAATCCGAGGATGGGGAACAGGTGGTAGTTTCACTCCATATTCCCTCCTGGGATCATCTGATGATGAGAAAACAGCCCTTCATGGGGCATATGTATGCAGAGAGAACCACACGTTAAAAGCAACAGGCACACATAATCTTTCATGACAAATAATAAATGCTTCGGAGCCGGGCGCGGTGGCTCAAGCCTGTAATCCCAGCACTTTGGGAGGCCGAGGCGGGTGGATCACGAGGTCAAGAAATCGAGACCATCCTGGTCACCATGGTGAAACCCCGTCTCTACTAAAAATACAAAAAATTAGCTGGGCATGGTGG